TCAAACTTAATACTGTAAACTGAGGAAAATTTTAGATTAGATCTATGGCAAAAGTAGATTATACACCAGTAGATAAACAAGAGAAAAAAGAAAATTTCAAAATATATTATTCCATTTTTGCACATTTTCCCACAACTCTGAAACAGAACATATCTTAAACTTGATGACATATCATAGTTCACATGCCAGCTTTTCTTTCTTTCTTAGTGATATATAAAATAGGTAAGGCATTTGGCTACTAATCAGTAAGTTGGTGGTTCAAACCAACCAGCTCTCCACTGGAGAAAGATGAGGCAATCTACTTGTGTAAAGATTGATAGCCTTGGAAACCCAATGGGGTCACTGTGAGTCAGGATTGACTCGATGGCAGTGGGATATAAAATAAAGTATGTTACAACTGACAACTTAAATACAATGAAATTTGGTATTATTCACCTATAATTCAATCAAAAATTTATTGATAACAACAACAACAACACAAGTATCACCTATTAAGTCCTTATGATCTGCCAAATGCTATGTTAGGCTACGTATGTATAAAACATAATTATCTAATTTAAGTATTGAACCCTATTTGTGCCAGGAAATTCCAAATCATTTCTTGACCAGAGAATAAGTTTTAAAAACTTAAGTATTTGATAAACTTACTTTGTTGTCGTTCTTTCCAGCAATTATTTCTAATATTAGTCACATAATCTTCTTCAACATTCTTTTCTATTTTTTGTAATAATGTCCCTTTATATTCATTTTTGAAATCCTTGTTGACATAATAAATGACACGCAAATTTTCTGTTTGCATTTTAATAGTCTGTCCTGTTCCACTGGAAAGGAGAGACATGATTGTTATTTTTCATTAAAATTGGACATTTTGATATATTACTACTACAAATAAGCTGAAGCCCTGCTAGAAACTGAATTTCCCTCTTAGAAAACCAGGGCAGTATATGTGTTGCATAGCAACCAAACTCCTGACCAGCTGAGTTGAAAATAATAGTGCTTGGCTCCAAGACAGTGGCTGACTGCCCCATTTCAAATGTGTATCACTCTCCACAGTCCTCGCAATAATCCAATGTCATGCATCAGGCTCCTTAAGGGGCTCACTATGGCTCTTGCAAATCTCTCATTCTAGCGCTTCCACTTGTAATCTTTCCCATTCTAGTCAGCATTTTGTATCAACCAAATCTTAAAAATTTGGGTCTGTGCAGGTTTCACTTTGTTGGCCATGACTGAACCAGTTCAAATCAGTTTGAAGCCCTGGTTTTTACTACTATAAAATGACTGGCAATATGACAAAGTTTTTTTATGTTCACTGTAGTACACTAAAGTTGTCTACGACAGATGCTAGCATTAAATATACTTTAAGTCTTGATCTCATATAAGATATATTGTGAAAAAATACTTCATATAACAAAGAAATAACATATGCTGAGTTAATAACTATTTTACAAACAGAAAAGTAAAATTATTTCCCCTTTAATGACACAAGGTTATGTAAATATAATCACCATTATAGCTTTTATCTCTAAAGTATTTTTGTCTTATTGTCAACACACTACCTGTCTATCACACTAAACTGCTACCAAGTTTGAATATAGCACTTCTGAACTTACCCACAGTAGAACAGAAACATAAATTAACAACACAATACAAATTTACCACTTACATAACTACTTTAAGAGTGAAAATTTTAAATCAGTTTGTTAATCTGGTACATTTGTAGTAATAAGAGGTTTTACACTTAAAAATGTAAAAGAGCATAAGGTCCTTTAAAGAAGCTAGATAAGAAACAGCAACAATTCATTTTTATAAAAGTTCACTTAGCTACTTACGATCTGGGATATAAGGAATAAGGAGGGTTGGAAACCATCAATTGGCTTAATAGCGATACAAGGATCAGGACAATAATGGGCATAAGCTGGATAAACACTGAAAAACCACCCTATAAAAATAATCAGAGAATAGCAAATTGTAATATAACTGTAGTTGTAAATAATCCAAAAGTTGTCATAGATTTTTACAGGTAGAAAGGATATTAGAGATCATCTGGTCCAGTGCTTTCAAATCTGCCAGACAGTACTCTTTAAAAATACAACTCTCCAAGCTCTTCATCTGGAGATTCTGATTTGTAAAACACTAACATAATTTGATCTCATTTTACAAACAAGGAAATTCTCTCTTTTCTTTCTCTCACACACAGACTCTATCAATATGAAGCAGGTTGCAAAACTATTTTTATTTGGAGTTGGGGTGGAATATGAAAGCTGGTGAGTGGCATGGCTAGGACCCAGGCCTTTTAACTTGTAGTCTAATCCTTTCTCCATTTACCTTGACACTTCATGTAATTTAGTTGTTATATGCAATTAGCTTTAACTGCATTACAATAAGGAAAGTTACTTCCAATTTGAGTTTTTTCATAATTAATTCTAAATTCTTTAGGACTAACAAAGAGGGCCTTCAAACATGCATGCTGCAGGTATATCTTCACCAGAATCATAGAATTCCAAATTTGAAGGGGTCATATTTGCTAACTACTCCCCACTCTTCTCTCTACCCCTGCTCCCACAATATTCCTAAGGGATTTTTCAGTCTCTGTTGAACACCTCTAATAACAAAAATCTTATTACTTCCTAAAACAATTTGCTCTATTTTCAGACAACTCTAATTGCTTTTCCTGAGCTGAAATACGCCATTTTACAATTTCAAATCATATCATAAACATACATCTCCTCTTTCTTCTTCTCTTTCATGTCCACTATGTTGATGCTGATGTTGATGGCTATAACCAGCTCGTCCATTTGAAAATGAATGTACACTACCTATAAAAGTAATATTAGAGAGATCAGTTATGTTCAAAAGCACTACATTTTCTTTTGCATTTTTATTCCTTTTTAAATGACAAAACTCTCGTGTGTTAATTTTGAGTAATAAATGCTATTGCCCTCTCTTCATATGAATAAAGAACAGACAGAAATGGAGGTAATTCTTCCAAGACTTTCCCTCATAGTGACTCCATTGTGTTTCTGAGGCAGTAAATCTTTATGGAAGCAAACTGCCCTATCTTCTCTGCTGATGGGTTTGAACCACCAATCTTCTGGTTAGCAGTCAAATGCTTTAGGCACTGTGCCACCAGAGCTCCTTATACAGTAAAGTAGATGTACCTTTTTCTCTATGAAAACATGATTAAAAGTTACTCCCTAATATTACATACACAGAGGGATTCTGTTTTGATTACTTGTTTTCACATATATTGGATCATTAATCTGAAACTTTACTTTTTGCCCTTAAGCATCACAAATACCCCTAGAAATCAAATGATAAAAGCTCTAATTCAGTTTTTAAAAATGTCTGTAAAACATGCTATGATATACCAAAAAAAAAAACCAAAAAAAAAAACTCAAATGTACTGCCATCGAGTCTCTTCCAATTCACAGCAGACCCCACCAAGTTTAAATCTTTAAAGGCTGTAAATCTTCATAGAAGCAGACTACCTCATCTTTCTTCCATGGAGTGGGGTAGATTTGAAGCCATATATATGCCTTAACCACTACACCACAAGAGATCCTTATATTATGGTATGGGTGTACCTCAATTTATTCAAACATTCTTACTGATGGACATTCAAACTATATTAGACACTGTGACCAACTAGAAATGGCTACCACTGACAAGATAAACTATGTTATAACTAACAAAAGTACTATGTATCAACTTCTTGTTGTTTGTTCCCATCAAGTCAGCTCTGACTTATGGTGATGTCACTATGTACAGAACTGCTCCCTAGGGTTTTCAGGGCTGTGATCTTTTGAGAAAAGGTCACTAGGCCTATCTTCCAAAGAACACTTAGGTGGGTTTGCACCACCAACTCTTTGGCTAGTAGTCAAGCATGTAAATGTTTATACCACCCAGGGAGCCCACAAATCAACTATTAGAAGCCAAATTCACTATTACTTTAAAGATTTATTGTTGCTAGAATATTTTCACTCAAAATGATTAGTTTTAATATTTTTTCTATGAGATATAATAATGTATTCTACTAAGTCCAAAAGGCTGGCGGTTCAAACCCACCAGCCACTCCTCAGAAGGAAGATGGGGCAATCTACTTCCAAAGAGATACTGCCTCAGAAACCCAAGGAGAGGTCACTATGACTATGAGTTGGAGTCAATTCAATGGCAGTGTGTTTGGTTTGGTTTAATATGTCAAAATACCGTTTATATTTTTAGTCACTGATTTGTACCTACACATTCCCTTTCCTTCAAGAATACTTTGCAAAAATGCTCTATCAATGACCACATTCTTTCTTAATAATATTCAGAGAGGCCTATCAGGCCCAATTCTATTAGTGCATTCATAAACATTCTTCTGATTTTGAATGAAGTGTTTAATTTAGCACCTTATATAAATGTAAATAAAATTAGAACTACAATTTTAACTACCTTAGAGAAAATTAATTTCTAACCAAATAAGTGTAATAAAGTTTAATAGTACTTATGTTGGTACTACAAAATTTTTTCATTTAGGCAGTACTGCTACAATACTTCACTTTGGTAGCCTAATTCAAAGGAACTCTAGTAGCATAGTGAATAAGGCATCTGCCTGCTAACCAGAAGGTCAGTGGTTCAAATCTACCAACCACTCTGTGGAAGGAAGATGGGGTGCTCTACTTCCATAAAGATTTACAGCCTTGGAAACCCAATAGGGGTCACTATGAGTTGGAATCAACTTGATGGCATGAGTTTGAGTTTTTATTTTTATCTTAAAGTAACCAAAAAAACTTACTTTAGAGATAATCTATGACTCAAATATTTTACTATTTCAATGGACAGAAGAACCTCCAAAAACATTCAACTTAAAAATCTATAATATAAATAAAATATCTGGAAAGATTTCTACAGAATCTGTGTTTAACAGTCTTCCAGGATATAACATACCTCCTATAATTGTTATAGCACTTAACTAAGACAGGGTTATTGTATTTCCCACTTATATGCTCTCTTCAGCCTTATATAAAATACAGATCTTTTTTTTTTTTAAATTAATAAGTATTATGGATTGAATTATGTTCTCTAAAAATATATGCTGCAAATTCTAACCTCTATGCCTGTGGTTATAATCTTATTTGGGAATGGATTATCTTTGATGAATGATTACTGTAGGGTGTATCTTGAGGTAATCTCTTTTAAGATATAAAAGGAATTAAACATCTGAACTGAGTAGAGATGGGATAAAACAGATGCCAAGACACATGGAGATATGAAAGGAACTGAGAAAGACTTCCTCTAGAGGTGGTGCTCTGATTTAGGACTTCTAGCCTCCTAAACTGAGAAAAAATAAATTTATTTGTTAAAGCTATCCACTGTGGTATTTCTGTTATAACAACACCAGCTAACTGAGAGGAAAAAGTATTCTTAGAAAAAAGCATGCTATTGTAAAGCTGACAACCCTAACACTTTGTTTCCTATGTTGTTGTTAGGTGCTGTTGAGTCGTCTCTGACTCACAGTGACCCGATGCACAGCAGAACGAAGCACTGTCCAGTCCCGCGCCAGCTCCACGATCCTTGCTATACTTGAGTCCATCACTGCAGCCACTGTGTCAAACTATCGCGTTGAAGGCCTTCCCCTCTTTCATCGACCCTCCACCTTACCAAGCATGATATCCTTCTCCAGGGAATGGTCCCTTCTGATTACATGACCAAAGTAGGTGACACGAAACCTGGCCATTCTTGCTTGTAAGGAGAATTCCAGATGTACTTCCTCCAGGACAGATTTGTTAGTTCTTTTAGCAGTCTGTGGGACTGCACTCTTCGCAAGCACCAAAACTCAAAGCATCAATTCTTCTTCAGTCTTCCTTATTCATTGTCCAGCTCTCACATGTATAAGAGGTGACTGAAATTAACATGGCTTGTGTCAGGAGCACCCTAGTCCTCAAGGAGATATCTTTGCTCCTCAGCACTTGAAAGAGGTCCTTTGTAGCCGACTTGCCCAGTGCTATGTATCATCTGATGTTCTGACTGCTGCTTCCATTGGTGTCGATTATAGAACCAAGCAATGTGAAGTCTTTGACAACTTCAATCTTTTCTCCATTTATTGTGATGCTGCTATAGGTCCAGTTGTGAGGATTTTTGTTTTCTTTATATTGAGATGTAATCTATACTGCAGACTGTATTCCTCAATCTTCATCAGCAAGTGCTTTAAGACATCCTTACTTTTCAGCAAGCAAAGCTGTGTCATCAGCACACTGCAGGTTGTTAATGATTCTTTCTCCAATCTTGATGCCACATTCTTCTTCATACAGTCTAACTTCTTGGACTATTTGTTCAGCATACAGATTGACTAAGTATGGTGAAAGGACACAACCTTGACACATTCCCTTCTTGATTTTAAACCATGCAGTGTCCCCTTGTTTTGTTTGAATGACAGCCTCCTGGTCTATGTACAGGTTCCTCATGAGTACACTTCAGTGTTTTAGAATTCCCATTCTTTTCAATGTTATCCATAATTTGTTATCATGCACACAATCAAATGTTTTTGAATAGTCAATAAACTACAAGTAAACTTCTTTCTGGTATTCTTTGCTTTGAGCCAAGATCCATCTGACATCAGCAATGTTATTCCTTGATCCACATCCTTTTCTGAATCCAGCCTGCACCTCTGAAAGTTCTCTATCAATATACTGCTGCAACCGTTTTTGAATTATCTTCAGTAAGATTTTACTTGTGTGTGGTATTAATGATACTGTTTGATAATTTCCACATTCTGGAGGAATCACCTTTCTTTGGAATGGGTACAAATATGGATCTCTTCTAGTCAGTTGGCCAGGTGGCTGTCTTCCAAATCTCTTGGCACAACTTAGTGAGTGCCTCCAGTGCGGCATCCATTTGCTGAAACATCTCAGTGGGTATTCTGTCAATTCCTGGAGTCTTGTTCTTTGCCAATTCCTTCAGTGTAGCTTTGACTTCTTCCTTCAGTACCATTGGTTCTTGATCATATGCTACCTCCTGAAATGGATGAGGATCGACCAGCTCTTTTTGGTACAGTGACTCTGTGTATTCCTTCCATCTTCTTTTGATGTTTCCTGCATCATTCAATATTTTGCACATAGAATCTTTCTATATTGCAATTTCAGGGCTTAATTTTTTTCCTCAGTTTTTTCAGCTTGAGAAATGCCAAGCATGTTCTTCCCTTCTGGTTTTCTAACTCCAAGTCTTTGCACATTTCATTACAGTAATTAGCTTTGTCTGCTCAAGCTGCTCTTTGAAATCTTCTGTTCAGCTCTTTTATGCTGTCATTTCTTCCATTTACTTTAGTTACTCTTTGCTGAAGGACAAGTTTCAGAGTCTCTTCTGTCATCCATTTTGGTCTTTTCTTCTTTTCTCGTCTTTTTAATGACCTCTTGCTTTCTTCATGGATGACATTCTTGATGTCATCTCACAATTCTTTTGGTTTCCAGTCACTGGTGTTCAATGCTTTAGATGGTCTCTAAATTCAGGAGGGATATATTCAAGGTCATATTTTGGCTTTTGTGGACTTGTTTTAATTGTCTTCAACTTTAAGTTGAATTTGCAAATGAGCAGTTGATGGTCTGTCTGTTCCACAATCAGCTCCTGGCCTGGTTTTGGCTGAAGATATTGAGCTTTTCCATTGTCTCTTGTCACAGATGTAGTCAATCTGATTCCTGTGTATTCCATCCGGCAAAGTCCATGTGTATAGCCACCGTTTGTGTTGTTGAAAAAGGTATTTGCAATGAATAAATTGTTCTTGCAAAATTCTATCATGCAATCTCCAGTGTTATTTGTCACCAAGGCCAAATTTTCCAACTAAAATTCTTTGCTTCCAACTTTTGCATTAAAAGTCACCAGTG